AAACGTTTCCATTCTTTTAAATTATAGTATTAATATTAATTTGTAGTTTTTTATTTTATTCTTTTATTTAAATGTTATCATCTACTTACCGCACCATATTTATTTTTTAATCTATTTTAGAAAACTTACCATTTTTATGCGTTTGTGCTTGTAAATTATAATATTTTTTAATGATAAATAATTAATTTGTAGTTTGTTTGAAATAAATCATTTTAATCCTGCTCATACTATATTAATTTGTAATTTTTAAATTTTATTTTAATATTTAAATGCCAGTGTATTTTATTTCCATACTTCAATTCCCCAATGGTACGGTTCACTACTATTTAATTTAATTTAATTTAAATGCTTAAATGGTGTAACATTTAAATAAAAATAAAAATAAAAACATACTTAAAATGGAAGGAAAACATTAAGGTAAAATAATTAAACTACCATTTATGTTGTCAACACTTTCCATATATGAGTGTCATGCATGGGCGGGAAAAAATTCATGTCTTTTTAAATAATGTATAGATAAAGAGATGATGAAAATGTTAATTTAGCCTATAAGCTAAATAATACTCGTAACATACTCCCTCGGTCCTCGAGTATTTGTTCACTTTCATTTTTACTCACCATCTAATACACTTCTTTAATCCATTTTATCTTATAATTTGTATATTAAAAAATTATAGAAATTATATATTAATAATTTACTTGGTCCGTCCCTGAGTGTTTGTCCACTTTTGACTTTTGGAACTGTTTATCTAAGCACTTTGACTAATCAAATTCTCTCAATGTGTAAGCCTAAAAATAGTTATGTGTGATCTTGTCTGATTTGTCTTAACATATAGATTATTAATATATAATTTTTATAATTTTTTAATATACAAATTACAAGATAAAATGGTTAAAGAAGTACATTGGATGATGTGCAAAAATAAAAGTGGACAAACACTCAGGGACGAAGGCAGTATATGTTAAAAGAAATCAAACAAGATAGAACTATATATAGACTTACACATTGAGAAAATTGGATAAGTCAAAGTGCTTAGATTGAAGAATTATTGTTTTCTATATTAATCTTGTGGAGTCAAGCTCCGTATATATACACGACTCCTATCTATGGTAGGATATAAACAAGGAAACCCTATACAAAGGAAATCTACCATATATGGAAGATATTAAATATACAAAATATTTAACATGCTGCCAACTACGTGACCGGTGAAGGGCGAATGCCAAGACTGTGCCTGAAGTCGGAGAAGAGGAGAGAGGGTAGCCCTTTGGTGAAGATGTCGGCGTACTGGGAGGAAGAGGGAACATGGAGAACACGAACCTGCCCTAGAGCAACTTTGTCCCTGACAAAATGTATGTCAACCTCTACATGGTTTGTGCGCTGATGCTGAACAGGGTTAGTCGATAAGTACACTGCACTGACGTTATCACAGAAAACCAGTGTGGTGCGGCGTTGAGGTTGCTGTAACTCGATGAGGAGATTTCGGACCCAACTTGCCTCAGCCACGGCATTTGCAACTGCTCGATATTCGGCCTCAGCACTCGAACGGGATGTGGTGGCTTGTCTCTTAGATGACCAAGAGATGAGGTTGTCGCCAAGGAAAACATAGTAGCCGGATGTAGAGCGACGAGTATCGGGACACCCTGCCCAATCTGCATCAGAGTATGCCTGTAAAGAATCAGTACGTGTGCGGTGGAGAGTGATCCCATGAGTGGTGGTGCCGTGTAAGTAGCGGAGGACACGCTTCATGGCAGTGAGATGAGTGCTGTGAGGGGCATGAAGATGGAGACATAGCTGCTGTACGGCATAGGTGAGATCCGGCCGTGTGAAAGTAAGGTACTGCAACGCTCCAACAATGGACCTGTATAGGGTAGGATAAGAAAGAGGTGTGCCAGACGAAGCTCCGAGTTTCGCCTTTGTATCAACAGGTGTGGAGATGGGCTTGCAGTTGAGCATGTCCGCATGTTCCAAGATCTCGTGAGCAAACTGAGTCTGATGAAGAAAGAGCCCCTCCGTAGTGCGCTGAACATTGATCCCGAGGAAGAAATTGAGATCACCCATATCTGTCATGGCAAACTCCCCCTTGAGCTGTTGAGTGAGGCGCTGAAGTAAGTGGGATGAGGAGGCAGTGAGTACGATATCATCGACATAGAGCAACAGATATGCCATGTCATTCCCTCGTGTGTAGACAAAGAGGGATGTGTCGCTCTTGCAGCCACGGAAGCCCAATGTGAGGAGAAAGCATGCAAAGCGATGATACCAGGATCGGGGAGCCTGCTTAAGGCCATATAATGCCTTCTTCAGTCTGCACACATAATGGGGCCTAGCAGGATCCTGAAATCCGGATGGCTGGCTGGCATAGACTGTCTCCTGAAGTGTGCCATGAAGGAAAGCATTCTTCACATCCAACTGATGGATCGACCATCCTCGTGAAAGTGCAAGGCTGAGGACAATGCGAACTGTGGCCGGTTTGACAACCGGACTGAAAGTCTCCTCAAAGTCGATGCCGAAGCGCTGATTAAATCCACGGACCACCCACCGAGCTTTATACCTGGACAGATCACCTGTAGGGCCAAATTTGTGGCGGAAGAGCCACTTACCAGTAATAACATTTTGTGTGGGGGAGGGGGGTACAAGTTCCCATGTATCGTTTTTAATCAAAGC